GACTGACAGACTGCAACGGTTTGAGTTAAAAATCCTAGTTTGTGTTCTACTGAAGAAACAAAGTCACCTACATCTTGGATGCCCTGGGGGTAAGCAGATAAACATCAAATTTTCATTTTTGGGTGAGCTATCCCTTCAACCCTTGGTACACTTTAGAACAAACAAGACTTGTTTGTTGGTTAATTTCCTTTTTTGTGCTGACCAACTGCTTTCCATTTTTGCCATGTTAATGATTAATGTATCAACCTATTTGCTGCTTGCTAAGATGCTTGTTTTCATGCTACCACATTTTTGGTCTTCTAAGAATTATTTTTTTTTTGCTTTCTGCTGTTTTTGTGTGTAACTGAGAAGCCCAATTAAAGGGATAGTTCACCTAAAAATAAAAATTCTGTCATTAATTACTCACCCTCATGTCGTTCCAAACCCGTAAGACCTTCGTTCTTCTTCCTTCTGTGTGTAACTGAGAAGCCCAATTAAAGGGATAGTTCACCTAAAAATAAAAATTCTGTCATTAATTACTCACCCTCATGTCGTTCCAAACCCGTAAGACCTTCGTTCATCTTCGAAACACAAATTAAGATATTTCTGATGAAATTTGAGAGCTTTCTGACCCTGCATAGACAACAAGGGTACTACCACGATCAAGGCACAGAAACGTAGTAAGGACGTCGATAAAATGGTCCATGTGACATCAGTGGTTCAACCGTAATTTTGTCCATTATAGACGCATGCACATTGCGTTCCTATGTTGTAAACAAGGGAATCGCATGTGTGTTTTACGCCAGCAGCACCACAAAGCGCACAAAAAGTATTCTCAAAGCTTCGTAAAATTACGGTTGAACCACTGATGTCACATGGACCATTTTAACGACGTCCTTACTACGTTTCTGTTCTCTGATCGTGGTAGTACCCTTGCTGTCTACGGAGGGGCAGAGAGCTCTTGGATAGAATCAAAAATATCTTAATTTGTGTTCTGAAGATGAACGAAGGTCTTATGGCTTTGGAACAACATGAGGGTTAGTAATTAATGACAGAATTTTCATTTTTGGGTGAACTATACCTTTAAGTATTTATTTTATGTACCTGTTTCAAGTGTGAATCTCTACATTTGGATTCAATAGACCGTCTAATGGCAAAATGTATCTGGGCTAAAGAGTGTATTTTATTGTGTGTCTATTTGTAATGTGCTGTTTGTGTACGCACCTGTGTGGCCTTTAAAGGTGGTGATCAGGCTGCAGTTGTCCTGCTCCAGCTTTAGGATTGTCACTTGACCGGAATGATCTCCAACGAAGGCATGTCTGGTTTCCACATCAAATCTTACACAGATTGTCAAGAAGCCAATGCTATATAACTTTTAAACCCCTCCTGAATGTCATCTATTGACACGATTACCGTAAATTGCACCAAAATTAATTTTTTACATTAATATATAAGACGTTTTCATTTAACCAAAAACAAAAATAAAGTTTCTTTAATTAATTTTGGATAATTTAACTTTTTATGTCCTTCAGGGCATTGTGTTGCAAGGTAATAAATTAAACCAGTCGTAGTAACGTTTTTTTTTTTTGGCAACAAGCCACTTTAGGATATTTATGGTAATGGTGAAGTGTGTCCATACTGCTGACGTTAACCCCTTCTAGTTTATTTATGCTGTGTGCACGAAATAGACACTGACACGGTCAAAACGAGTCATCAGAGAAGCGCTAATACATTTAGAAACCACATTCCTACAGCATTAAAGGGATAGGTCACCAAAAAATGACAATTCGGTCATCATTTACTCATGTTGTTTCAAACCTGTTTGACCATCTTCTGCATAACATAAAAAAAGAGATTTTGAAGAATGTTGGTAACCAAACAGTTTTGATTACCATTGATTTCCATTGTATGAAAAAATAAATAAAATAAAATAAATTAAAAAAAATAATAAAATATAATATAAAATAAAATACGGACACGTTTCTCAAAATAACTTTTCCAAAAAAGTCATACAGGTTTGCAAAGACATGAGTGTAAGTAAATGACCGAATTTCCATTAGCCCTTTATCTAATTACATTTCTAATATAAATTATACAAACTTAACATTTAAGTAAATTATTGGTGTTTTTGTTAAAATTTTAACCTATAATAAAGCAAAAATAAAATCAGTCAAATTGACGCAAAGCAATATGAAAACACGGAGACTGCAATGACTGATTTGTGACTATAAACTTGGAGGTTTTTGTGAGATGTTTCATATCAGGAGTGGCGTATGAATGGATACTGTAGTCCAGACACCCATGCTGTGGTCCGGTATGTGCCCAGCTGCTGTCCGCTCTCTGAGCAGTGCCACGTAAAGCTCTTGTCCTGACCTGTGCTTAGAACCCACTCCATCTCTAAGACAAACAGCACCACGGTCACGCCACCCTGATGAGCTAACAAACAAAAGAAAAGACACAATGAGCAAAGCAGGGAGGGATCACTTTAGCACATTCAAAAACACAACCAATTAAGCTCTCATATATATATAAGTAAATAACAAGGCAGCAGACAGTCAAATAATCACAGAGGTGGAATTTCAGTAACAAAGGAGCAAACCTAAACCACAGCACTTAATATACTTCATGTTTATACTCTACGTGTGTATCTCTATCCATAAAAGGTATCATTTATCTTTGTTGGAAGCATTACATAAGCCACATGTTTTAAAGAAGGTTAGCTAGCTATTTCACATCAATGCCATTCTAGGCCATGACAACACCCTGTGATTAAGAGCTGAATGTTCAGATTTAGTACTTCATAATAAAGCTTTCCTGCATTTATATTGTTCTGTACAGAATTGACCTGACCTGACCTGACCATTCTGTACATGGCTGAATTGACCTTTAGCAGGGAGTTTGATTGACAGGCGATCTGACCAATCATAACGCCGAATCTGCCATTTTTGTCTGACAAACAAACCAGACAGAAGAGTAAATTAATATTGGTTGACTTGAACTTGAAAAATGGTGTGTATTGACGTCTTTCCACACTGAAACAAGATACCTTCTGATGTTCAGTCATGTTTATTTCATGCTATAACTAGTAAAGAGGAAGATATGATCCCTTCACGTGCTACTTGAACTGAGGCGCTACAGCGATCTGTCATGACACATTAAAGAGCCACAAAATGGCATTTATTTTTGGAATTTCTTTAAAAATTACGAAAAGCTGGGACTATGTTTTATGCCTAAAGTAACCTTCTCTGTCTTGTCTGTCGGCGTGTTGTCAGTTTCTCTTTGCTCTGCGATGTATTTTTCACTGCATGAGAACATGATGTGTGGCGTGAGAGCACCATGACTTGTCGGATGTAGAAACAGTAAAGAAGTGGGGCGGGTCTTTGCGAAGGGCCAGTTATGTATATGAATGGAACTGGAATATATATCTTCTCTATGTTATAGAATAACATAAAAAATCAAGAAATAAACTAGTTAGATTCACTTAAAGGGATAGTTCAACCAGAAATACAAGGATATACAAGTAAAGTTCCATCACCTTCTAAAAAAAATAGTTCATAACAGCAACATTTTAATATATGATGATCATTAATGCACTTTGGCCATTTTCATTGCAAAAACCATACTTGAGTTACTTAAAATAGAAACCTATAAAAGTTCTAAAATGTAATTTGGGTAAATTTGATTAAAACCATTTTCAAGGATATCAACAAAATAAAGGAGTTGAAATATTACTTTATCTGACATATCAAATGGCAGGGAGAGACAGATTGTGATGCTTGAATATGTTTATAGGATTTATGTTAAGTTAGGAAAACAAACTGAATTCTTTGCGACTGCATTTGTGACTCACCCTGATATGTTCGTGCAGGAGTCATTTGGTTGTAGTCCTCCGATAAGACAAACTCCTGGTAAGAGAAACGCCTGGCTTAATGAAGCTTAGTAATGTATCTGAGAACCTGCTAGTGACATATTACTACATAGAAAGCAGGTGTGTGTAAGAACAGTGTTTAATTAACATACCGATACAGTGCCATTTTCCAACCCTACAGAGATCCTCCTTGTCTCTGGATTAAATGACATACATGAACACGCCACTGCAACATAAGACAAAGACAATGAGTATGAGATTCTATCCAACAAAATCTGTTGATCAGCATTTGACTATAAATAAACACCCTGTACTGAGAGCCAGTGCCACCACAGTCTACAATAGTTAACTAGAAAGCAAGCAAAAAAATGAGAAATGAAACTCCTGTCTGAACGGGAAAACAAGCTGAAGTTCATGACCAATATGGGTTTCACTACACACTTTTACTTTTGTAGTAAAATTCCTGTTAAGTTATGTGGTTGCATGTCCCATAATGTTTAGATCTGTTTTGCTCTCAGAAAGCAGCACAGGATCGGTGTTGGACTGAGGACTCACCTGGCACTGTGTGAAAGACACTAGGCCAGTACTGACCACTGTCCCTCTTCAACCACACGCGGATTGTCCTAAAACAAATTGAAATAAATAATTAAATATAATAGATAATAATCTTGATTATAACATTTACAGACATGTATTTAACAGACACATTCTTACAAAAGTGGCATGCAGTACAGTACACAAATTACCAGGACACACATCGAAGAATACATGTCGTTGGCTAAGATAAGTCCTAATCACCTTAACGGCAAACATAATAAGAACTCAAACTAAATTTGGTTGTCAAGTTAAAAACATTGCCAGGATCAGGCAGGGTACTCAAAATCATAGGGCTGGTACAAAATGGTGGGCCATATTAAGTGAAGAAAATATTTCTGTTTTGCTTTGACAGCTTAAATCTCTAAAAACAAAAATGATGACTTTAGAAAAAAAAATGTTGGGGCTGTTAAAAGATTAAAATACTTTAAAACATTTAATATTTAGTATTTTTTTCTACATAAAAACACCTTATCATATTTAGTTTGTTTTTAAAGAAAAAACATATGTGCAATTGTGCATGCATTGACATATTTCTGTACAATGCTCTTTTACTCACGCACACTTCACACTCACACGTTCAGTCCTTCAAATGTAAAATATATGTAAAATAACCTATTGTATACTTCCCCACACATTAGGGCATACTAAATAACTTGTGAGTTCTCCTCCTGGCTGGTTACGGAAGTTGTCATGGGTCTGACATTGACATGACCTCTGTTGCTCTTTTAGAGTGCTTATTTGCATGAACATAAGGTGTGCTTGCAAAGCCAATCATATGACACACATTACTTTGAGCTGCGAAACAATTCAATTGGAATTAAAGTGCTGAAATAAATAGTAATGACATACATATATATATATATATATATATATATATATATATGAAAATAAATAAAGACACTGCACTCTTGTAGTTTTGCATGAAATAGGAGGGTGCACTGCTGTGTTATTAACATATTATTAAATCTGTTCACAAAAAAAAAAAAAGTTTAGATTGGTTTACGGAGTCCACTAATGGCACTTTCTGAATGTTTATTCTTTATTAAGATTGCAAGCCTACAAATCTACCAAGTGACTCCATAATTGTTATCTTCACAATAATGCAGACCGTTTCCCCATATCACCGAACTGCATAGAAATCCAAAACAATATAGAAAAAACATAATAATAGCTTAACGAAATTTTGAGTCTCAATGAAAGACCCTATGTAATTTTATTTGTGTATTGTCATTGATCATTTTACACATACCTAATTCTTCTGCCATTTCCCCTCCTTTTGTAAACGAGATTATCCAGTTCATTCGCGAATGAACCGGAATTCCGCTTCGAATCTTTTAGATTCAAATCAGCGACTTTTTCATTAAAGGGGGTATTTGTTTGTATTTGTTCAGTAGATTACTAATGAAATACTTAACAGTCCGGTCCTGAATGCTTTCTGTTGGTTTTTATCAGTTACTGAAGGCAGGAAAAGGTAGTCACGCGTTTCAAAGGGGACGCTTCAGTGAACGAAATTGATTCGTTCACTTAAACGATTCTTTTAAAAACATCGATTCGTTCACGAACTATAATATAACCACTCGCATAATAATAACCGCAGGCAAATGCTCGCTTTACAGTACGCGCAAACGAATTTTTAATTTAATGATCCTCAATTTGCACTCTCTATGTGATGATAACTGGGGATTACACTTTATTCCTCCGAATATCGTTTATTAAACCAAAACAAAAAAGGATAAATGTGTCTATGTATCGTGTATGTCACATGCATTTTATATAACAAGTTATTTATTAATGTGCCGGTGCTGCTTATAACATCACTGTACAAATAAAGTGCTTTGAATGTATTCTGCACTGTAATTCTAATAGCCTAATTGTTGTGGGTTTCTACGAGTGCTGACCTGTCTTGAGATACGCTGATAACCCCGTCCTCTTTGGGGATGATCACAGCCGTATTCACCACATCTTGGAAACCCTCAATCTTACTCAGCAGGACGGGCTTTCGTGTCTGCGGACGGGGATGGATCTCTGCCGCCATGGCGCTGTAGTTACTCCGTCACCTGAGTCCTCTCTCGGCAGCATAACACGCTGAGCGCAGGTCGGTTCAGAACTGCAGACGGTCAGCGATGCTGCAGGTCAGCTGATTAGCTCTCACACAGCCGTGCTGGTCTCACTCAAACACGATCTCTATGCCATGTTCTCTAAAGCCATGCGCGAGTTCTCCTCTCGCTCTCCACGTACACAGACGATCCGCCTCTTGAATGAATCACAGATGCATGCGTTTGAGATGTGCAGGGTTGACTTTGACGAACACCATATTTGTAGAACCGGAAGTTGAACGTCATTTCTTTTTCCATTTGATTGACATTTGTGCATGAACAAAGGTTCACAGCGTTTGTTCAATTGAAACAATTAAATTAACAATTTATGTCAGTTAAGTCTATATTGTTTTCTTTTTTTTCCCTGAATACGTAAACTTTTTTAATGAATACTTTGTTCTCAACAACAAAACCACAGAGTGGAAATTGTTCTATTTATAGTTCGGCCTTTTCATGTGCAGACATACATCACAGAACTATTGTAGGTTTTGCATTCCTTACTAGTTTGGTTTTTGCTTTACTAGTTTCATATTCCTTACCAGTTTTATATGACACATAATTTTGCAGATTATGTGACCAATAAACATGCCATTGTATGCCCTATATTATTATTATTATTGTTATTATTATTAGAAGTTCCTCATATTGCTTGGGTAGGTTACATGTCAAAGTGCTAATACTCAGACCAATAATGCTAACTGGCAATCAATCAACTGGCAAAGAAATAAGAGTCTTTTCTTGATGCATTTGCTGCTTTCATTGACTGGTTATAAACCCTGTGAAATATATGGGATTTGAAATTACATACACACACAGCACCTGCACAGTACCAGCACCTAATTTAATTAGCTTACTTGTGTGTGTATGTGTGTACATAGGCCTACTTGTAGTGTTTTACATATAGATTTTGCAACATCAAATACTTAATTAGACTGCTTCTTACTCTTAATATAAAGATACATAGGGATTTATTGATATTGATCTGAGCTCCAAAAAAAAAAAAAAAAAAACTTTGGATAAACTTAGAATACTGCGTTCTGCAGTAAAAGAGTCTTTTATGCCAGCTTAGCATATAACAAATATTAATGCATGACCTATCTGAGAAAGAAAGTTTTTGTTTTCCTCTTATAAAATAATAATAAAACAATAATATAAAAATATAAATTGTTCAGAGAGAGATTTTACTGGAACTCTTTGTTGAATGGACATGTGATTTGCTGGGAAATGTGTGGTTATTACCAGAGGTTTATTAGAAATAAGGTTTTAAAAAGAAACAAAAACTAATTTAATCTTATACACAGATTTATCTTTATTTACAACAAATCATTAATTACAGAAATTAAAAAGGCATAAATATAAATTGTACTTTCTGTAATAACTATCATAAAACCACTTTGCGTTTATTTGGCGTTGTACTAAAAATACAGAATATTATACAGAGAATGAAAAGTGATTTAATTTAATTCACTTACTTTTATTTCTGACCAAGTTTCACATTCATAAACGCAAATGTACTAATAAAAACAACTTTATGGTTTTGTTGGCTTAAGTAAGGCTGCACGGCTAAAGATTGTATACTTATTCAGATTTTTATATTTGGCACTTTTTTAACATTTATTTATGCAGTCGTTTTCTCCTTTTTCCTTATTGTTTTGTATGCATTGTGTTTAATGTTCATTGTATGTAGATTTGAGCGTAAGTGCATGTATACATTTTTTCAATAATAATAATAATATAAATCATTAGGTCTACAAATGCGCATGCTCCCTTACAGCCTCTTTTTTTTTGTTTGTTTTTTTGAGAATATGCTAATCACTCATTTTCAGGTGCCAATCAGTTGAGGCGTTTGGACGCACAGTGCTCCGGCAGCGCTCAGGGGGCGGAGTCAAGCGCTGAACGCAGAATAAAACCACTGCAGCCCGCGAGCAGACCTCAGTGTGAGGAGAATCATGGACGTAAACTAAACAGAAAGTTACCATGATAAAAGTTAGGCATTTCTTTCAAATTACAGCAACAACACCCGTTTCCCTTGTAAATCAACAACCTTCCCCCCCCCAGGGTCTGAGGTTTGCTTAAGTTTACAAGGCATCGCTCTTTCAACACTAACTACAGTTACACTCTGACAGAAAGAATGCGCGAGTCAGTTAGCATTAGCCGGCTAGCAGCGTGCTGACAGCAGCGACAGGAGGCGAACAAAAGATTGCTCTGCATTTGTCAGCTTGCACTGACATTCGGTCCATGTAGAAGGGGCGATTATCACCACAATGCCCGTGTTACTTTTCCTGATAGACACGTCCGCCTCCATGAACCAGCGCTCCCATCTGGGCACTAGCTATCTGGACATAGCGAAGGGCGCAGTTGAGATTTTCCTGAAGGTAAATGAATACACACCTCTGCTTCACACTCACTTTACTGAAAACTTACAAAAAATATGCGTTTCCGTTCGCTTTTCTCCACAGCTGAGGAGCAGAGATCCGGCCAGCAGGGGAGACAGATACATGTTAGTGAGTTTCGAGGAAGCACCGGCTGGAATTAAGGTACAAACTCTTTTATTCCTTTCCAAACCTGATTTATTTCACTCCAGACACTCTCAGCGCTCGCTTCGTCTGTTTGCGTTGCAAAACAACACGGCTAAATTTGTAGTGTGAAAACATTCTGTCCAGCATAAATTTGTGTGTTTAAACATGGCCGACATTTTGTTCAGTGTGGCAGCAGAGAGCTCTGTGTGCGTGTGTGTGCTTGAGAAAAGAGAGACGAGGGGCTAACCTAACTTAGTTTTCCCACCCAGAGAGAGAGAGAGAGTGAGGACTCTTCTACCCTCTACATTAATACCCCAAAGCAAATTTCAGATCACTCTGTCTGTCTGAAGAATTTTGATGTGAGGATCTCTTAAAAGGCATAACTAATCATTTTCTGTGTCTTGATATTTCAGGCTGGATGGAAGGACAGTCACGCCACTTTTATGACTGAGCTGAGGAACCTGCAAGCAGTTGGATTGACATCCATCGGCCAGTCTTTACGGACCGCTTTTGATTTGCTCAATCTCAATAGATTAGTTTCGGGGATAGACAACTATGGACAGGTATGTTATAAACCAGGGACTGGTATAAAGTCTATGGCCTAGCCCCATGAGCCCATCCCCAACACATCACAGTTAAATAAGCACCCAATAGGCTCACACTGTGCCAACACAATCCCAAGAGCCCCTGGTGACACACAGTAGTAACAACTAAACTGCATCTTGGATGCAAATAAGGGTAATGACTAACTGAAAAGCAGGTCTTGTAGTAGGTGCTGGTAATGCTTTTTTTCCGTGTTTTCTTTTGAAAAAAATTCCAGTTCTTTGTTTTTTTTTAAGGACGGTTCTTGTATTTCTGCATGTTGAGCTGTGAAAGTTCAACAGATTCAACATTACCTCACATAGATGTAATTTTCTCAAACAATGCCTACATCAATCTAGTCTCCCTACCTTATTTTTGTTGCTCCAGTAATTTTTTCCTGCTTGCTTGTCTTTTTTTTTTTTTTTTTTTTTGTTTTACCCCAACATTAACTTTTAACCAATTAGTAATTTTTGTGCTTCAACTTAAACTTATTTTAGTAAGTTGTCAATGCCAGTTTTCTCATTTTCGTTTCGTTTCGTTTTTTATTTTATTTTATTTTATTTTACAAAAAATATTTAATTGTTTATGATAACAATAAAATTGGTAGAGACAAGAGCATTGAGTGCTTCAGCTTAAACTTACTTTAGTTAGTTGGACCGAAAAGGAGAGTCTCTGATATATGCCATGGTTATATTATTTAGATGATATATACTGTTCCTAAGTTTATTATTGGCATGTAATGGAGCTGCATGTAGTGACATGACACAAGAAAAACGGGTCATTAAATCTTTCCTCTGCCTGCGGTAAATTTAGATACAAACTCTCTCCTTATATTATTGTGAATACTTAGTAATGGATCTCTCTTGGTTTCTGGTTCACGTATTTGTTTCAGAAATATTTCATCCATAAAACTGCACTGTGCTGATGATATAATTAAGATTAATAATTATTGAAAGAGCAGAGTGTTTTAATGATTATGCATTATTTTATCAGTGCATATGTGCCATATTTTTGGTTTGTGTAATAAAAGCAGTGTAACTACCTTATAGTTAACATCAAAAACAGTGGGTGTATTTCAAGCTATGCTTTTCTCTAATGAGCTCCACTGCTGGTGCTCAGTTTTTTATTGGTTATATTGTCTTGTCTTTTGCAGGGTAGGAACCCTTTTTTCTTGGAGCCTGCTATCATTGTGGCCATAACTGATGGCAGCAAGCTGACCAGCAGTTCTGGTGTACAAGACGAGGTGGGTTATTTGTCAGTATGGGCCGGATTTTAAGGATTTCCTCTGTGATGGCCATCCTGTCTAGTCATGAGTTTCCTATTTTGTTTTGTACTTGCCATTTCCTGCTTGTTCTTTCCCCTTAAACTTTTCCTCTTGATATACACTCCTTCCTTTTCATATCTAACATCCATTGTTCTCTTTGACAGAATGACTTGCAGATCTGTAAAAGTAGCTGATAAAATTAGCAATAGTCAATGTATCCTACAGATTTTTTTCCCCCAGGGATTTTTCCATTTATATGCTGACATATGAATGAATTCATTCTCTTTCTCTGCTCCAGTTACATTTGCCCCTGACAACACCGTTGCCCGGCAGTGAGCTGACCAAAGAGCCCTTCCGATGGGACCAGCGACTCTTCTCTTTAGTGCTCCGCATTCCAGGCCATGCCTCTCCTGACCCTGAACCAATAGGTGGAGTTCCACTTGACCCATCCCCTATTACGCCCATGTGTGAGGTCACTGGGGGTGTGTATGCATTTTAACTACTTATAAGTGAAAATTGTATTGCTGAAAGACAAATGTGTGGAATAGAAATGTTCATGAACTCAAATGAAGTCTGCTGGCCATGTATTTAGTGGTTCTAGTGCTAGATGTTGTATAGTAGTGATGTCTGGCACTTCAGTTACTCCAACCGTACACTAAACAGAACATTATCTTATCATCTTTATTTTCTGTTAAAGGTTTCAAAATAGGGGGCAAAATTTGTAGCTTTTGATAAGTTGCATAAAGTATAAGAAATAAAAGGTATAACAGGAAATATAACTGTTGTCTGATGGCAGCAGTTCAGATTCAACACTAATAACGATTCTCTCTGGAGTCATGAGATCGTGAATGGCTACAACAGTTCTTGACTCTCCAATTTATGTGTTTTAGGCATGCAAAAAATCTGCATTTCACACAATTATTGGGTGCTTTAATAATAGAGTTGCGTATATGTGACGTCATTGCATGATTACGTGAGCAAACGGTCCAAAAGAACCAGGGTTTGGAAAAGAATCTTAACACGAAGAATTAACATCCCTACTATATAGCCCCTCTGCGAGAATTTGCCAGAAGTTGAGAGAGAATTGTTAATGAGCAAGCATGTTTAAGATCACAAGATTTGTTTCTCTTTTGTCTTTTTTGCGTTTAAAATAACATTTAGAATTGGATATTTATAGGTTTGAGGTTACAGAGTAAATTTAGACTGCTCTTTAAAAAGCTCTACATGCCCTGCTGAGTAAATGTCAGGTCGTACCTGTCGGGTGGTGTTTAGGTGCTGTGAAATGGTGTTTGAATTGTGAATTGAAGAGAATTGCTGATTTGTGGTTAAGGGCAGATTCTGCTGGACTCGCGTGTGCTGACTAATACAGCTGTGTAATAGAGACGAGCTGAACTTCACTATAAAGAGAGGAACAACGTCTGTCCTCTAATTCTGATAAAATACTAAATACAATAGAGTGGCTGCTGTGTAGTGTGTGTGTGTGTGCACGCATATGGGAATAGCTGTGGCCTGCCAATGAACTGGCCAGAAAAAAAAGGCCACAGCAAATGGTTTCATCTTAAACCAGACAGTATTAAGTTACTTTAAATATGAATAGTTGTGGATAAAATTTACATGTAAGCACTTATGTTAAAGCTCACATGTCAGATACAATTGCTAAATGTCTTTTGATGGTGTTTTTTCTGCTGTGTTTAGGCCGTTCATACAGCGTATTTTCCCAGAGAATGCTGAACCAGTGTCTGGAGTCTCTGGTGCAGAAAATCCAGAGTGGTGTGGTCATTAATTTTGAGAAGACTGGACCTGATCCTCCACCTACTGAAGGTAAAGGAGGTCCTGGTTTTTGTAGTTATATTTTCAGTAGTATTTCAGTAAAGTGCCTATTAATAAAAATAACTGCTATTTTTTCAATTTTGGTTGTGACCAATATGGATATATAGTGGATATAGATGGATACTTCATAAATCCAATGGTGCAAATTGCTATTTTAGTATACAAACATGAACACTATTCAACCACAGAAGACTTTATGTAATTTACACAGTAAAAATACAGTAAAAACACTAAAATTGAGAAATTATTAACATTTAAAATAAGTTTTCCATTTTAATATATTTTAAAATGTAACTTATTCTTGTGATTTGCAAATCTGAATTTTCAGCTTTTTGTAACAATTTCAAAGTCTTTGTCATGTTTGATCAATTTAATAATGAATAAAAGTATTACTTTCTTTTCAAAAACAAACAAAAAACATATTGATCCCAAACAAACATTTGAATGGTATGCTTTACAAAAAGTTTAAACCAGGCCATTAATAATGACGCTACTTTTTTTGTTTTACCCAGATGGCCCAATAGAAATGAAGTATGGACCTCAATCATGGCACAGCTGTCATAAGATGATCTATGTCAGACCCAACCCTAAAACCGGTGTTCCTGTTGGTCATTGGCCTATCCCGGAGTCGTTTTGGCCTGACCAGAACTCTCCTACTTTGGTATGAAAAAACTTGTTTCAGTATGCTCTACCATCTGTTCAGTCTGTTTTATATCCAATGTAATGTGTATATGCTCTGTTGGTTTTTCTAGTGTAATGAAAACTTCTAAGCCATGCAAGTGTACTGTCTGCTCATTTGACTCTGTCCCTCTGCAGCCTCCACGTGCAGCTCACCCGCAGGTGAAGTTTTCATGTGTTGATTCAGAGCCCATGGTGGTGGATAAAGTGCCCTTTGATAAGTACGAACTAGAGCCTTCTCCGCTCACTCAGTACATACTGGCAAGGAAATCACCACACACCTGCTGGCAGGTACTGCTCGTATCAATCTTTAAGCACAGTTATACACACTGGTCAGGTTGCATATAGGCTGTATGTTCTCTCAGACTGCACTAACTTGCACTCCCGCTATGGCTGAGTGTTAATTGCTGTTTTATGTTCTCAGGTTTTTGTGTGTAACAGTGCTAAATACGGAGAACTCGGGCAGCCGTTTGGTTATCTGAAGGCCAGCACAGCTCTTAACTGTGTCAACCTGTTTGCCATGCCCTATAACTACCCTGTGGTGCTGCCTTTGCTTGGTAAGCTTCATTAGTAACATCTAATTTATCATATGGAGGTATGAAAGGAATAATTCATAAAAATAATTGGTCGGTTTTTCTCTAGTTCTGTCTTGTCTTTAAAGGTCCCATATTGTCAAAACTGAAATCTCCTGGCTTTTTTCATGATAACTGAGGTCTAAGGGTTATGTAACTACCATATAAGTTTCAAAACAGTCAGTCCACAGACAAATGCACACAGCCTGCATAAAGTAGCTGTGCCTTTTCACGAGCCGTTGTGACTTCCGTAAAAAGGTGACGTCA